CTTCCCCATCTTTAATTTGTATTAACTCTGTAACATATGTATAAGTACTTACTAAGACTTTAAATAAGTCATTGTGAACATTCTAAGAAAAAAGACTGCGTTAACAATGCAGAATTTCCATCCATGCCTGGGGCTTCTCACCACCTGCAAAATGGCCAGACCCAACTAGTTGAGGAGCTGCACTGGTCCTGGGCTAAGCACAGCCTTTGAGTGCCATTTATGATCGCAGAACCCTGTTACTTGTAGCTTTTAGACAATTCAAAGTTCAGAAAGCAGTTCACCTCCATCTAACACAGAGATTCTCCATTAAAGGTTGATATAAAAATTAATTAATTGCATGTTCACCTTTCCATCAGATCAATCAACTAATTGTCACAGAGGTTCAGCATGGGAATTGTTAATATGGCCTTGCTGATCTTGATCACAACTTGTAAGAATTCCGATGATGTCCATGGCTTGAAAGTCTAATTGCAGCCATTAACATTTCCAATTTTCAACATGTATTTAAGCAGAAAATGGAAGCAGAGAGTAGGAAATGGAGAAAAGAGGGAGAAAAATTAACACCAGGCTATTCATGCTGACTTATGTTTCTCTGTCCTTAGTAAGAAAACTCTTCCTATTTAGTCCTGTTTCTAGACAGAAGCTTGATTTTGTTATCTAGATATTTTCATACAAGCAGAAAGAAAATTGAAAAAGTCAGTGTTACTTAATTTGACCACAAAATTAATAGAGCACATATAGTGCTAGTTACATTTGTATTGACTCAGAACTTTCTATCTCAGATCTCTGGTGCCAGTTTAGCTGGAAACACCTCCACTGACACTGTCAGCATGAGCTGCTTTCACAATGGGAAATCCCAAAAAACATAAAAGTAAACAATTTAAAAAAATTTAAAAAAAAAAAAAAAGACAAACACTATGTATGAGGTATTTCTCATACCTGAAAAAAATACAAGTGCAGTAGGGGAAAACAAATGTGCAATGTTAATGTCAGCAACAGTGAAAAATTATGTCATAATTACATGGCAAGGCAAAGACATTGCTTCAGTGAAGTTTGCTGAATACCTGAAAATGAAACAAAAATAGGCCTAAGTAAAGGCATGACTCGTATTTGAGAACATTTAAAATACGTCCTGTGACAAATTGCTACATCTGCATGGACTCAAAGGTTGAAGCCAAAGCAAAACCTTACAAATTAGATCAGATAATATTTAGTTTTAAAAATATTGACAGCCTAGTTGCTTTCTGAAACAGATGCTTCAGGGCTGATAGGGTAAGTACACTCGTTAGTCATTTCAGGAAAGAACAGAAGCCTTCGTTTACTTACAAACACACTCTCTGGAAGTAAACCTGTAGGAAAGGAGACCTGTAAGAGTGGGTGTCCTTGGAGACCCAGCGCACACCTCCCTGATCACTCCTTCCCTCTTCTCCTTGTAGGGACGTTTCAGACTGCATTTAGTTTCTCCTAGATACTCAGTCTCTTAATCAGAAAACCAAATGATTTTTGATCATCTACTGACTTATGCAGCTGATGTTCTGTCTGGAGAAAGACCATCAGAAGAGTAGGACTAGCACTTCCAAGATCCTCTGAAGAGAGCCCCTGACATTGGACAAAAGCTAATCACAGAGGATAGAAACACTGAATGACGTGTAAGTACCAGCTTATCCATGAGTGCAGCTGTACCTCTGTTTTCGCCCTGCAAACTACAGCCAGACACAGGACATGTAATGTAAAAGCAACTGCAGAAGCACTACGGCTTCATAAAGATCCATATATTTCTTTCCTAGACACATTTCTTTGAAGAAGGTTTCTCCCAAATGGTTCCCCAGTGTGAACTGCGGTCAGACTACTTTGTCCAAGACATCTGTACAAACACACATACATAAAAAGCTCTGAGTTTTGTCTTGAAATGACCAATATTCCAATCCCTCTTCAAGGCCTATACATGAATATTTATCATCTGCCCTTTATTTATTTTGCAATTTAATTAACAATTGGGTGAAAACTTTTGAAGACAAAAGTAAACAGTGGTATCAGTGAACAGTTCACTTAACTGCACAAGCGGTTTAATGGCTCTCAAGATGCACTCTAGGTGCACTCTTAGAACTGCATTCCTTCTACATAATCTGCTTAAAGACAGAGAAACATTTTACTTCATACTTCTTAATAGACATGTGCTTAGTGAACTGCTTTAAAAGAGAAATCTCGCGCACAAAAAATACTAAAACACAGCAGAGTACTTAAAAAGAAAAAACACTTCCATGTGTCTAAATTACCAGCCTCACATTTAACAAAATAAAAAAAAAAAAAAAGAAAAAATGTGTACTTTACATTACGAGTAATATTAAATTACTTTAAAGATATTTGGAGTGTATATTTATCAAGTACCTCAACATAAGCAAACAACAGGAAATTTACATCTGAAATTCATTAATTCAAGTGCAAAGAAATTCCACAAGAAAGAAGTCCAGGCAGGCTAACCGAACCACAAGATATCCTGACAAATTCATGACATGGAGCTGCGGTACTTAGAAAAGCAGTGGATTTGCCACAGGGAATTAATCAGTTTGTACCCGGCTTCCCGCTGGGTTAATGTAAGCTAAATTATTATTTTGCTTAAATTTACACCCTTCTAAGTTGAAAAACATGTTCTTTTAGGATCTGTTTATTAGATAGTAAGAAGGCGTCTCTAATTTCAACCACTGCAGTGAAGAAAGCAAAGAACTTCATTTTTATTCTAGTTTTTCAAGGCACTGGAGAAATGGGGCACTAGAGTATCTATCTCATAGATAGAGACAGAACATAAATATGTACACACACACAAAATACAAAATTAGAATCAGTTTTAGGTTGTTGAGGTCTACTTTTTTAATAACTACCGAGAGAATACACCCAAAAGATGCAATAAGACAGCAGTACCTTCCTGAAGCACAAGAAAATGCAATCCGATCTTCATGCAAAAAGCACCCTCATAACACGCAACTCTAATTAATGTTGTATTTAATAATACACTGGCTAACAACAGTAACAAAGCATGCTTAATGAAGGTTTGTTTAGAACATGGCCCTCACTGCTGGCTCTGTATGTGCCCCTGTACTGCATGCAACCTCAATGCTTTTTCCTTTTTTGCCTTTGACAGCCAGTAACAAAAATCCTGCCTTCAGGACATTTCACAAATTACGTTTATTCTAGTGATGCAACGTTTGTAGTTTTGATACTGCTGAGGAGCTTCACAAAGAAGAGCTTTCTAAGAAACCATGTGAATGGTCAACAAATCCATCTCAGACAAATATATCACTCAAAGTTTGTATTTTTTTTTACTTCAGCTCAGAACTCAAACTCTCTCTTCAAATACATACTTCACCTCAGATGTGATGGATGGTTGCTGCTGTTAAGTCTCACCACTTGTAATCTTTAAGCATATGGAAATTCAGCAATTCTTGAAAAATACTCAGTAATTTAAAAATAATCTTAACAAAATACTGTTATTTTAAAAAAATACTTTTTTAAAGCATCTAAATTTTTCAATATGTAAATCGCTCTAGCGGTGCGAAGGAAATGTCTTTAATATACAATGCTGATAAGCAACAGAAACCTGAGTTCAAAATCTTGCTGCCTTAAAAGAAGCAACAGCTGCCACGCAGACGTAAGTGAGATTTAAGGGGGGGGAAACAACAAACAGACATAAAAAAAAGCACCCAGAACCTCCCTCCAAGCAGAGAACACCAAAAGTCTGCCTTGTGTATCTGTCATCAATTTACTAAAATGAAATTAATAGAAATAATACACAAATATTGTTCTTTTTTTTTCCCCCACTTTCATTTTTAAGGCACTTTTTAAAATCAAACTCCAGTTCTGCTACACTAATGCTTAATAAATGGAGGAAAATAATGAATTTACCTAAGAGTATTAAACAAAAGCATATAAAAGTAAATTAAACAACCACATGCGGTTTTTCTTTAAAAGAAGCAACAACTGCAATCAATATTAGGTCAAGTAAAATATCAAAAATAATGTAATTGGTTTTGAGATTGAATTTACTTACCTTGGCCCTCTGAGGGCAGTGTTACCTAACACACGATTAGAAGCATCAGCAGACTATTTGATTAAGTCAGTGGACCCCAG